TCTCACTGAGGCTGGCCTCCTGGTCACCTGTTGTGGTGTGTGTGCTCTCCTTTCACGTCCCTGGGCCACTTCCCCTCAGGAGGTGAGCCTGGCTGTCGACCTGAAGGCATGAACCACCTCAGGGCACAGGACCCCCAGCAGCTCTCAGTAAAGGGGAATGGACCGAGTCCATTACATTTATTTCAGTTAAAAATAATAAATCTATCTACCTGTATCTCCATATATCCATGTAGAGGGGATTTGGAGTGATTAAGGCTGCTTCTGCTTTGAAGACGTACCCCAGTGTGTCCCCGGCACAGGGATAAATAAGGTGGCCTTGGGTGCCAGTCTTCCACACGAAGCCAGCCAGGTTCAGAGTCACCTTTGCTGCTGCTCCCCGAGCTTGGCAGAGGCTTTCCCGCCCTTCCCCCTCCTGCTCCTGGGATGCCTGGATGGCTGCTTTGGTTTGAACCTCTTGCCTGAAGCCGCCTCAGGGGGGTGGGGGTCTGCCAGGCTTTCCCAGCGTGAGTTCTGGTGCATAGATCATCAGCTTCGTGTGCTAGCCACTGGGGTATGTAGAGGGGCAGAGGGGCAGGGACTTGAGACATAAAAAGTCAAAATGCAGGTGCTTGTGGCCCCTGCAGTTGGGTGTCCAGTAGGAAGCAGGTCTCCCCTAGCAGGGTATCTGTCTCCTCGAGGCTTTCTTAGAAGGCTACACCCCACTCCTGAGTCAGCCCGACTCCTCCCCCTCTGCCCCCGAGTCCCAACCTGCTTCTGAGTGTCACACTAGAATTTTTATTACTCAAAGTGTCTTATTCTTTGTTTCCAGACATATAACCCCTCTGTCTGTTAGAGGGGAGAGGGGTGATCATGAGAAGCCTCCCAGGGAAACAGCACAGAAAGGACTGTTGGTTATGTTTTTTTAAATATATATATAAATATATATATATAAATATTTCAACAGATCATAAGGAAAAAATACTCTGGTTCTTGCAAGAGAAATCAAATGAACAGATGTTTCTCAACAAGAGCCTGGACGTCACATCGATCATGACTGGAAAGACTGTCGTGTGGAACTCCCTTGGGGTGGAGTTCGTCAGTGGCCAAAAAAGAATTATTATCGATTGAACTGATGGGTGGGCGGAGCCTCGGGGAGGTATGTGGCAGTCATTTCTGGGGTGTGTATCTGCCTGACATGAGCCCTGGAATGGATTGGTCCTTCTGAGACCTGCTCCCTTCTGCCTCCAAGGCCTGCTCTAGAATTGTCACCCGTTTACCACCATAAAGGAACCTTCCTGCTCTGCTGCTGTGTTGGCTCTTCTTTACTCTCACGGCGCCTTCCTAGTCGGTGCTAATAGAGCAGAAGGCAAGAGAGGCGTGTCTCCACACTAAATTTAGGATGGGTTTTAGCCAGCCTCCTAATAGTTTATAGTCCCTGCGCGCGCGCGCACACACACACACACACACACACATTCCATATCCTGTCCCAGGTTTCATGTACTCCAGGCGCAAACTTGAACCTCTGATCATCCTTGCCTCCACCTTCCAAGTGCTCAGGTTACAGGTGTGCACCACCATGCCTGATTTACGTGTTGTTGGGTCTCAAACCTAAACCTTCCTGCATGCTAGGCAAGCACTCTGCCAATTGAACTGCATCTCATCATTTTCCAGGTCAGTATTCAGCATGTCCCAGATTAGCTTGCCAAGAAGGGCCTGATTTTTATGATTGCTGTGAATGCCCCTTCACTTAGAGAAGGCGAATTGTGGCCTCGGAATTCTTGGTCGTGACCACAGGGCTCTGTAAGGTCTCACAACACTGACATTCTTCTTCGACTCTGGCATGGAGGGGTGGGGGCTGAGAGCTAGGGACAGCTGCAGCCAAGAGCAAGCATGGCTGGCCTGCGGGGTTGGTGGTTTGTAGCTTGGCGGCAGCTGTTTGGTCTGAGCTTCCGTGTGCGGTTTTTGTTGTGGTGTAGTTTGGGCATTACTACACCAAACTACAGATGAGGGTCAGTGGGCTACAGAGGCTGTAGGAAACTGTGGTGCTGGGCCTCAGTGGGCCTTGTGTGTCCCAGGCATGTGCTTACCACTTGGATGCCCCTCCGAACGCTACTTCCTGTCGCCCATTGTGCTGTCGTGTCCCTTTGTTACCACTGACACTGGCCCGCAGCTTTTCCTTTTGAGAAGAGAGGTGAAAATTGATTGTGTAAGACCCTCTTGTTCTGTCATTGCTAGGGTGTCTTGAGTGTGAATCCTGCTAACCATGTGGTGGGGTCATTTCTACCCTCCCGCCTATTTCAGGATCTTCTCACAGAAGATCTTACAGGAGATCTGCAAAACTTCTTTTCTTCATGCTGTTGAGTCCGGTGGAGGAGAGGAAGCACCTTGGCATCAGAAAGGGGCTCTTTTCTTGGCCAAAAAAACCCCAAAAATATGAATCCCAGCTTCAGCTAGGGAGGGGGTTGCTAGCTAAATGTGGGCTGAAAACAAGGCCTGCAGAAACTTCAAGTGTCAAACCTCTCAGCTTGGTTCGTTTTCTCCAGCTGGATGCCACAACTCCGACCAGCACCCTGGTTAAGAAACAGCATGGCTGCACTCCAGGAACAGCCCGTCCCTCTCCTCACAGATAACCCCTGGCCCCAGCTGCACAGGTCACTTCCTCTCTGGGTCCTTCATCGGGGCTTTAAAGAACTGCACAAAGCTAGCTTATAGGTGAGGATGGTCGCTCGACATGAGCACCGTGATTAGGGGAGGCTAGTCCTGGCTGAGTGGTCTCCTAAGCAGTGGCCTGGTGGGACCCTTATATGTCTCCTGGCTCTCTCAGCTGGTAGACTTACTGGGAGTCGGAAAACCATTTAGTTTAGTTGCCTGTTGCACTGCCAGGTATTGTGTGAGCTTTGGCTGCGTTCCCCAACTGTCCTGGAAGGTGGGTGTTGGTGCTCAGGGGTTTGTTGTTTTTGGTCTTTCGAGGCAGGGTTTCTCTGTAGTTTTGGGACCTGTCCTAGAACTCGCTCTGTTGACCAGGCTGGCCTCGAACTCACAGAGATCCGCCTGCCTCCCCCCCCCCCCCCCCCCCAGTGGCTGGGATTAAAGGTGTGCGCCACCACTGCCTGGTGTCAGTAACCAAGCCCTGAGAGGTGCCAAAGCGACTGCTTCTGTTTTCCTTCCCTGTGAAGTCTGCATTTCCAGTAAGGTCAGTATCTTTTCCTTAGGAGGCCAGTTTAAAAGCCACTCTCCGTTATGATCAGGAGGGCTTGGCAGTCCAACCTTTCCCATTGTTCTGAGGTTCATGGTACGTGACAACAGTAATATTTCTCTCTGCCAGCAACTGGCTCAGAGGTTAGAGATTGTTCTAGTTGGGAACACAAAAACAGGCTTCCAGGTGTTGTTAAAAAAAAGAAAAAAGAAAAAATAAGGTCCTGTCGTAATGGTAATTGTGCAACCATGTTTGTATTTCCAACTTAGAATCATCTTCAGGGCAGAAATTGGATCTGTGCCTGAAGCTTTTATGTTCTTGTTAATGGAACTAGCTCCATTTGCTGTTTGTAATATATACCATATATAGTCCACCCTTGGTGAGCTTCTGTTGCCACATTCCCCCATGGTATTTGTCATGGATCCAGGCACTGCATGTGACCAGAGCAGCCTGATGGTCTGTAATCAACAACACGCACTGCTTGCTGCTGAGCTTAGCCATGGCCATACTCTAAACTGCTCCTTTATCCTTTAGACCCCCCGATTTCACAATTCTATCCTAAGAGCCTGGACTTCGCAGGCTGCTGGCCTCGATCATCCTTGTCTTTGCTCAGGTACGGCTTCTTTGAAGGGGAGTTTCAAATTGCAATAGCTTTTTACTGGAGGCTAGTGCCTCGTCCCTGGCCCTGACGAGCACATGCTGTCCCACTCAGCCTGGACCCTGGCTTCCTCATCTGTAAGATGACACTGATATAAACCATGCTATTTATTCCCTCTCCTTTATGAATTGTTACAGGGATCAGATAAAATGTGAGCTACCAAGGATGTTATTTATATTAGGGTTCTTGGGGAAAAAGAACATTCAATGGGTAATTGCTTAAATGGGGAGCACTGTGCCTACTGCATGTTTGAGACGAACAGAACAGTCATTAGGACACAGAGAGCTAGCTGTGTTCAGTCAAGGCCAAGGCCTCTGGTCAGACACTCACAGTCCCAACAGGAAGGGAGCCAGATATAGTGGCCTATTTGTGCTTTAATAAATAAAGCTTGGTGGGGAAGAGACAGAAATCTTTAATAAATAAAAAAAAGGGAAAATAAAGAAAAACATCACAAAAAATAAAATAAAATAAATAAAGCTTGCCTGGAGATCAGAGGGCAAAGCAGTCACACTAGACAGCCATACAGGCCAGGGTGTGGTGGCACACACTCTTTATCCCCAGACTCAGGAGACAAGAGGCCAAAGGATCTCTGAGCTCAAGGCTACCCTGGGCTACCCAAAGATGGAGCCAGAATCAGATTCAGGTGGTGGTGGCTCACACCTTTAATCCCAGTGTCTCAGCACTAGGAAGGTGGAGGTGAGCAATATGGCTGGGCAGAGAGGAATATAAACTGGAAGAGACAGGAACTCAGAAGTGTGAGGATTCATGGAGACAGGATCTCACTCGTCCCTTAGGTCTAAAGATTTGGTAGAGGTAAAATGTCTCTCTAGTGGTTGGCTGCTTTGCTTTTCTGATCTTCAGGCTGAACCCCACTATCTGTCTCTGGGTTCTTATTATTCGTGCTCCAGCCAGAGGACTATCAATCCCGGTCCACTGCGGGGGACAAGAAGGTTAGAGGTTTAGAAAGCAGACTCCTGGTGCAGGAGCAGAGGGCGGCAGTGCGGTGTGACCCACTTGCTCTGTGGAGCAAGCTGGTCTCCAGCAAGCTGTGAAAGCTGGCCTCAGGGTCTCTGCCCCATTGGCAAGCTCAGTAGGGATTTCCTTGGGCAGACCCATGCTTCCCCAGCTGAAGGGAGCAAGAGCTGATTCAGATGCGGAAACAACACATCACACAAACCTTTTTATTTTATTGAAATAGTTGGTAGAAAGGACTTTAACACTGTTCATAAACTGCAGTTCCAAGATTGTAAAAACGTCAAATTTGGTCTTGGGCTTTAGAACTAACACTCAAGTCACTGTAACAGAAGCTGCTGTCTCTTCCATCCTGGAAAACTCAAGAAGGCATGAGGATTGTTTGGAGCCAGAGCACTTGAAAAGCTCCATCTCCCCACCCCCCCCCCCCCTTTTTTTTTTTTTTTGGCTTTTCGAGGCAGGGATTTTTGGTGTAGCTTTGGAGCCTGTCCTGGAACTAGCTCTTGTAGACCCCCCTGCCTCTGGCTCTCCAACTCCATCTTCCCCTTCTAATGCCTTGCACAGTAACAGAAGACTCCAGAACTCACTGGCACTGTCTGAGAAGGCAGTGTGTAATGACTCCAAAGCCAGTGAGTCCTCAGACACTAAGCCAGTAAATACCTCTCATGACAAGGCCTTTCATTTCATGCTCCGAGGCCACAATTTAACGGCTGCTTTACTGAAGTTATTCCTAATACGCTGATTGGAATAAAACTATACTTTGCTTTATGTATATGGGCATTTTGCCTGCATGTGACATCTACACATGGTATGCATGCCTGGTCCAGGGGAAGAAGAGGGTGTTGGCTTCTCTGTAACTGGAGATGAAGACGGTTGTGGGCTGCCATGTGGGTGCTAGGAGTCAAACCCAGGTCCTCTGGAAGAGCAGCCAATGCTCTGAACAGCTGAGTCATCACTCCAGCCCCCCAAGTCAACCATTTTGCACTGCCCGTGAACTAGGATACCATCCGAATACATCAAGCACCACTTAAAAGTCCTCACTAGAAATGGAAGCTGCCATTCACTCCTACCTGCCTTCCTCCAGATCGCTTGGACAGAATGAGCTGTAGGAGAAACAGTAAAGGTCCTGCTGGACGGCCATGAGCAACCCTGGGGATCCCCGGGCACCCCCAAGGCGAGGAGAAAAGGCCACACTAGGAATGTTGGCCTTGGAGGTGGGGCATGGGGAAGGTATGGTTCTGAGTAGCTGGGCATCATGGAGGCTCCAGATTCTTGTGTAGCAGTCTTGGCCCACTAGGAAAGAGGGAAGACAACGCAGCAGGTCAGAGAATGCAAAGACATGTAGACACGCTTTTCGGACCGCTCAGGCCCAAACACAAACCCAATGGTGGGAGCTATTTCTACTAATCTATTCTTAAAATTAAGACCATGAGTTGGTCTGTTGCTCCAGAACCCGAACTAGCTGCAGGTGTGCAGAGTAACAAGGATAAACTGGCTGGCTGTCACACAGCAGTCGCTCATGGGATAGGGATTCTTCTCAAGTGGGAGTCCAGCCCACCTGATGTAGATGCCAGGCAGCTGGGTTCCTTTTGATGAACTAAGCAGGAAGATCTCTCAACTTTGTTACATCCTGGCAGAGCAGATGACAGCTATTTCTGGTTGAAGAATTCAAGTTAAGTCTGCAGGACTCCTAGTTCTGAGCAAATTGTCATGGAACACAATAGGTTGTGGCACCTAGATGCTCCATGCTCCTAGAGATCTGTGGGGGCTTCAGCAATCAGATTTCAATTGAGCACTTAGTGACTGTAGAACCATAGTGTGCCTCAGCAGAGGATGCACTTGGAGTATGGGGTTTGCTTTGGCAGCTGTGCAGACACCTGTGCCTGGTGAGGGACAATTGCCTATATTCTGTCAATCATGTTTTAAATTAACGCTGATTGGCCAGCAGCCAGGCAGTTAAGAATAGGCAGGACAACCAAACAGGAAGTAGAGGTGAGGCAATGAGAACAGGAGAATTCTGGGAAGGAGGAAGCCCATTCCTCCCCAGTTCTGTCCAGACACTGAAGAAGCAGGATGTGACCTGCCCCACTAAAAAAGATACTGAGCCCTGTGGCTAACATATACTAGAATAATGGGCTAATATAAGAGCTAATATGATGCCTGAGCTAATGGGCAAATCAGTTTATAACTTATGTAGACCTCTGTGTGATTTTCTTTGCGGCTAAACAGCTGTGGGACCTGGTGGGAGATCAGAAACCCCAACTTATGTAGACCTCTGTGTGATTTTCTTTGGGATTTATTGGGAACTGGGCAGAACAGAAAACCCCAAAAAGCAGGCCCCCCTGTAACATGTGCCTAGCTCTCAGCAAGGCTTATCTTCTATACATCTAAAGTCCTAGACTGTGCTGCTGCTTAACCAAGAATTTAACAGGGAATGAGTGCTGTCTGTAGAGACACTAGCACACGTGAGCCTTCAAGAAGACAGAACTTGTCAAAGGCCTACAGTTCCATACACACAAACACTGGTTTTTGTGCAGTGGCCTGGACACAGTACCATCTTTAGTTACTTTAACTCCCTCAGGGCTTGGTGGCCAGACAGCTGCACTTGCCCTGTAGATCATGGGTAATGTTAAAAGGCCAGGATCTCAGCATCCTCTGACAGGAATGGCAGGATGGGCAGTGTTTGGACAAGATGATGCCTGATGGAATCCTGCCGTGTTTTGATGTTTATCACCTGCCTATTTCTGAGGTAATGCTGTCAGTGGCCCATAATTCCCATTGTTCAGTGCTAGGTTTTTTTTTTTTTTTTTGGTTTTTCGAGACAGGGTTTCTCTGTGGTTTTGGAGCCTGTCCTGGAACTAGCTCTGTAGACCAGGCACTCACAGAGATCCACCTGCCTCTGCCTCCCGAGTGCTGGGATTAAAGGCGTGCGCCACCACCGCCCGGCTTGTTCAGTGCTAGTTCTACCACTTTTCCCTCTGCTGTTTAAGAGGCGGGAGCCTCACAGAGATCTCCCGTTCCCCACGCACCTGCCACCAGAAGTCCTTCCTCCTCGTGCACATGCAGGGGCAGGTAGGCATACTCATTCACGTGACCTTCATACTGCCGCACACATTTAGTGGCCCTCAAGTCCCATAGCTTGATCTGGGAAAAAGAACACGAGGGTTACTTGGGAAGGGCCTAGCAGGTATGTAGCTGGGAGGATGAGGTGATCTTCAGTGGCCTTTTTAGAATATGGAGACTGAAGCCTCTATCTAACTCCTAAAGCTTGAGTTCATCAAATCACAGAACTAGAGGCCCTTCTGTACTTTACTTTTTTTTTTTTTTTTAAGATTTATTTATTTATTATGTATACAATGTTCCTCTTGTAGGCCAGAAGAGGAAACCAGATCTCATTGCAAATAGTTGTGAGGCACTACATGGTTGTTGGGATTTGAACTCAGAACTTCACGAACAACAGCTATCTCTCCAGCACCCCTAACTGCTTCTACACTTCTATGGAGGCAAGAGCTCATGTGGAGCAGCAATCCCCATCCTGGTGTCTTGGTACCAGGGTCTCTCAGAGGCCGGCAGTCAGGATTGCCTACCTTTCCAGCCATGTCTGATGCCATCAGGTATTGATCTTCCTTGAGGACCCGCACAGAGGTCACTGCTGACTCATGGAAAATGTGGGTGGCCTTCCAGCTTTTGGCTTGACTTGGAGAACGTAGGTCAATGGCAAAGATCTCCCCAGAACGACAGCCATTGAACAGTAAGGGAGTCTGTGGAGAGAGGGTCAGCGCCCAGTTTTTACCACCTGTGCCTAAGGATGGAAGGGTGTGTCCTGCCTGGCATTAGGGTTGGTAGGAGTTTGGATCTCAATGGATTTAGAAGGGAGGCTGAGTTCTCGTGAGCAGGTAGAAGACATGGACCCTGTGTTTCTTCCGGTGTCCACCTTGTGGTGAGCCTCTAGGTGCTTGAAGGTAGCTCCACTTTCCGACCCTCAGGCTTTTCTTCCTCCCTCCCTCCTTCCCTTCTTTGAGACAAGGTATTTCTATGCCCTGACTGTCCTGGAACTCGCTCTATAGATTCAGAGATCTGCCAGTTCGAGGCCAGCCTGGTCTACAGAGTGAATTACAGGACAGCAAAGGCTACTCAGAGAAACCCTGTCTTGGTAAAGCAAGCAAACAAATAAACAAACCCTGCTGGGCATGGTGGCATACACACACCTTTAATCTCAGCACTCTGTAGGCTGAGACAGAGGGATCTCAAATTCAAAGATAGCTTGGCCTACAAGTGAGTTCCAGGCCAGCCATGGCTACATAGTAAGATTCTGTCTCAAGTAAACCAAATCAAATCAAACCAACCAACCAATAAAAAAAAATAAAAAAAAAAACACACCACAAACAAATAAAACAACAAAGTACCCACTGATCATTCCCATGCCTTTTTTCTTGTAAAAGCAGCGGCCCAGATGCTATACCAGGGAAACCCAGTTTGACTCCCACAAACACGTCAATCTAGGGATGTTCTGTTAGTCAATCTAGGGATGTTCTGTTATACCCTTCCTGATCCAACCAACCTTCATTGCAAATTGCTGAGTCAAGACATCACTGCTGGTCCCATATGACTGCCGGTGTCCTGTCACCACGTTAGTCAACAGGACCCTCCGAGACAATCCTTGTGGAGACAAGAAATGGGTCCCAGAGGTCAGAGATGCTGGCAGTCTGGGGAGAGGCCCGCTGCGTGGGACCTTCAGGTCTGTGGCCAGGACTCACCTGTACTGAAGCAGTTATCTATCTGGGTGTTCTGGGACCAGGCACAGGACCAGGCACCAGGGATCCGGAAGCTGCAGAGCATGCCAGGCTGGTCTGTACCTGCAAAGGAAAACAGGGCTGCCGTCCAGGCCCAGTAACGTCTCTCCATGTTACCAGGCTAGCAACCACCAGATCTGGGACATCACTGGGAGAAGCTGTTCTGAGGCCAGCTGTGGTCTGGATGTCTCCCAGAATCCAGATTTACAACAACCACCCCAAATCAAATGCTGAAAAATTTCAGGGATGGAGCCTTTGGGAAGTGGTGAGGATCTGGTGCGCTCATGCCTCCAAAGTGGTAATGGTGCATTTACAGTAGAAAGACATCAGCACTTAATGGACTGCCCTCCCCAGAGGCTGGCATGTGCTGCTGGAATTCCCAGCCTCCAGAACTCTAGGACCAAGACAGGGACCTTTACTGGATTTTGTGGTAACTAGAGAATGATTTGGGAGCAACTCATGTCCTCAGTCCAGACTGGGGCCTTCATAGTGCTAACAGCTGTCACAGGGCGGTGTGGTGTCACAGGAAATGTGGCTTCAATCCTTGTCCCAACACCAACAGTGTGCTCAAGTCAAACAATGAAACTATGAACTGACAGACTCAAGGGGGAAATCCAGCCATGTGTCCACTACTCCAACTAGGAGCTAAGACACCAGCATCCCAGAAGGCTCCCCACATCCCATTCCGATTTCTACTCTTACTTCATATCGTTCCCTAAGGGAATTAATATCAAGACTTCTAATACTGAAAAACTAGTTCTGTGGGGCCAAATTTGGCCTGTCCTCCTCTGTAAAGTAGTAAGACACATGTCCCACAAATCTGTTGGGCAGCGAGATCCCGACAGGGCTAAATGCTCTTGGCCTCATCTACTTCCATGAGGAACGTGCTGGGGTAGGCATTGCCTCCATCTCAGAGGTCAAGCAATGTGCTTGAATATAGGAATGGGGTAGTTGTGCTTTGGGCCAGCTCTGCCTGATGTCTGCACATCGCACACACGCAGAAGTCTGCCAGAAGGAGCAATCAAACTACATCCAGCCAGCCAGCACGGCCACCACACTCGGGAGCTTAACCAACGCCCTCTGAATGGTCGCTACAGGCAGCTCAACCCAGTGTCCTGACGTCTTATGCTGGCTGGTCATGTGAACTTTATCACGAGTACTTTGCTCTGTTGCTGAAATGACCTCACAAAGGCTTTATAAAAAGCAGCAAACTCTAAAATGCACTGATCCTGGGACAGGCTCTGGGAACCCTCCCACAGCCCGTCCCATCCCATATGCTGAACTGGGGTCACCCAGCTTAGACCCTCAGGGAGACAGAGGACACAGGCCTTCCTCAAGACAAAGGAAAGTACATGTCATACCTTGGTGAGTACCAACAAACAGTGATGCTGGGAGCAGGGTGGCACAGCCTGGTGTTTCTGCAAGGCCCATGAGGCACAGCCTGCAAAAAATCTGTTAAGGATAGGTGTAATGGACAGGGTCTCCTCTGGGAGAAAATGGCCATCAGCATGTCTTAGGAAGTCCAGATACAGCGCTTTTTACATTTCCCACATCTGGTCTCAGTTTCTTAAGAACGTGTCACAACACGTCACAGTTAAGAGCTTAGTCCCTGGAAATCTGTTTCCTGTCTTCTACCAGAGAACCAGGGTTTTCAGAGTGAAGCGAGTTTGTTGGAGGCCAGAGTGTAACATGTCTGCACAAGAATTTCCCTGTGCACATGAGGAACTAAGTCTCAAGTTCAATGACAGCACATAGGCTGAAGAACTCATCAGCTATGGAATGAATAATGACAAGTGCCATGATTGTGTGTTAAATCTTACAGAGAAAGCCCAGCTGGCAATCCCAGTAGGTTACTGTGTTTTCAGAGCAAAGCCCTATTGGCTTGCTGAGAGGCCAGAAACCAGTGTGTTCTAAAGGCACAGGTCTGAGATATAGTCTTGTGGCTCAGTGTCAAAGTACTTCCCTTGCCAGGCGGTGGTGGCGCACACCTTTAATCCTAGCACTCAGGAGGCAAAGGCAGGCGGATCTCTGTGAGTTCGAGGCTAGCCTGGTCTACAAGAGCTAGTTCCGGAACAGGCGTCAAAGCTACAAAGAAATCCTGTTTCGAAAAAACAAAATAAACAAACCAAAACAACAAAGTACTTCCCTCACTGCCTTCCTCAGTGTTCCCCTAATCACTACTTTCTCCCTCCGCCTCACAGCTGGGTACCATTTTAGGACTGTGCTAATCCCTTTTGCTTTACTCCTTCACCAAAGCACTGACTCCCCTGGCAGGGATACTGGGTCTATCTGGTGACCCAAGAGCCCAAGACTGTATGTCAGTGGTAGAGGCAGGGTCTGGAGTTAGGCTTCCTGGGGTCCAATGCTGTTTCTAGAAATTACATACCAAGTGCCAGATGCCTGGCACATAGGAACTTCATCATCATCCAACAACAGTCAACTCTGAACTTCAGTTGCTTATGAAGACACACTGCTCTGGACCCAGGTATAGTCTTTGTCCAGAAAGGGATCCAAGGGTACAGAACGTTCCCCCTCTGCCATCTCCACAGATGCTTAGGTTTATACCAGGTTGTGGTTGTGCATTAGACCTATCACAGGTTAAAGGATACAGGATGTGGGAATCCAAGTGACTGAGTGAGGCCCAGCACACAGAGTTCACCTGGAGAGGAAGCAGGGAGAGAGAAAACTAGGTTGACTGCCACTCGTGGGAATAATGGTCAAATGCTTTTCTAAAATATGGCCTTTAGGGGCTGAAGAGATAGCACAGCACTTGCTGATCTTACAGACGACCCAAGTTTGGGTCCCGGTATCACATCCAGTAACTCCAGCTCCAGGAGATCCAGTGTCTTCTAGACACACAGAGACACGTGCACATGTATGTGCGTGTATATGCATGCATACTACACATCCCTTAAAATTAAAAAAGAAACACATGACCCGACCAGCTGCCCCCTGTAAGATTGAGACTATACTCAAAGCTCTGAACACACTAGGCCAGCACTTTACTACTAAGTTAACCCGTAATCCAGAGGTTCTGAACCTGGAGTCACGACCCCTTTGGGAGGGCTGTCAAGTGGTCCTTTCACAGGTCACATACCAGATATCCTGCTTATCAGATATTTACATTGTGATTCATAACAGCAAAATTACAGTTATGAAATATCAACAAAATAATTTTATGGTTGGAGGGTCACAACATAAGGACCTGTATTCAAGGGCTATAGCATTAGAGAGGATGACATGTGATTTCTTTTTTCAGGTACAGGAAGAAGAAGCAAACTTCTTCATCCCTTGCACACCAGGGAGGGTCCCATGCTACCCCTACCCCTAAGGCAGACCTGCATTTTCTCATCTAATTTAAAGGGCCAGGAGATGAGTTTACTCTTAACCAAAGGTGTGCTGTGTCCTGCTTCACCCAGCAGGGGTTTCTTTCTTTTGTTCCTTTCTCTGCCTCCTCTGAGACAGGAAAGAAAATATAGCTAGGCTCACTGTGTAGGTCAGGCTAACTGCAAACAAATAGCAACCCTCCAGTCTCAGCCATCTGGTGCACCGAGATTCTAGCTGGCTCCCCAAGTCATTTTCTTTTTTATCTATCTATCTATCTATCTATCTATCTATCTATCTATCATCTATCTATCTATCTATCTATCTATCTATCTATCTATCTATTTATTATGTATACAATATTCTGTCTGTGTGTATGCCAGCAGGCCAGAAGAGGGCACCAGACCCCACTACAGATGGTTGTGAGCCACCATGTGGTTGCTGGGAATTGAACTCAGGACCTTTGGAAGAACAGGCAATGCTCTTAACCTCTGAGCCATCTCTCCAGCCCTCCCCAAGTCATTTTCAACCATGTGGCTCATGTCCCTTTTGAACAGGAAGTCACAGCCTCTTGGATGCAATTTAAAAGTTGCTATTGGTCAGAGAGCACCTGACATGTGTGATGTCCAGAGGACTCTATCCAAGCTATGATCACTGCAGCCCACATTCCAGGGACCACGCCCCTCCACATCAGTTCTGATCCTTTAGAAAAGAATGCCCTGATGGCCAGTGAAGGCACACACCCCATCCACCTCAACTAAATTTGTCTCCCAACTGAAGATGCTTTGGGCCTTCCTTTTCCTGTGGGCTTTCAGGCACTAACAAGCCATTTGTCCCTCAGAAAGGTAAGACAGCTTTTATTGCATTCTTCATAAAACTCCTTTCCCTCTCTGAATGTAGGCAACTACAGCAGGGCCCTAGGCCCAAAGGCAAGCAAGCTGCAAGGCTGGAACGGCAGGACCTACCTTTCTGTTGGTGAAGTAGAGGTTCTCATGCATGTGCACTGTGAACGTAGGGGCCTGCAGACCCTGCAGGTTGATGATGCCATACTTGGAGCCTCCAATTTTGACATCATTCACTGTGAAGAGGCGGTCACTGCTAGTATCTGCCTGGAGGGAAACAGGCTATATATAAGTGATCTCTCAGGCTGATGCGGCTGCCTATGCTCCTCTCCATGAGGGAATATGGCAGGGACCTAACTTAAGTGATTTCGAGCAAAGCCCAGAGTCTGCCCTGCCATTTCTGACGCATGGATGAAGGTAAAGAGAATGTGTGGCCAGGAAGTCTGGTGTGGACAGTGAGCCCCTCAGAATTGAGTCTGGGAGGATCTTAATGTTGGCCCAGAGGATATACCACATCCCACCACGAAAGCCATGAACTGTTGAGTTCTATCACGAACCTCTCAGCTACATAGGGAGAGCCTGCTCTATTTAATTTAAAAATACAACACAGTGCCTATAATATCAACACTTAGGAAGCTTACTAAGGCAGGAGAACTGAGTTAGAGACCAGCCTGCGGCACATAGTTCCCTTGTCCCAAAAAGCCCCCAAACTCCCCCGCCAACAGAGCTCCAAACAAAGCACAACACTGTTAATTCAAACTAAAATCTCCATATTTATCTTTTTTAAAAATATATATACCATGTGCTTGTGTGCACAAGTGTACATGCATGCATGTACGCACATAGGTGAAACTCCCCCTACTCTGCAAGCTTGAAGAGTTAACACGCTTGAATGAACCTACTAGCGGAGAGTCAAATGTGGAAAACTGCCTTCCCAGCCATAAGCCAAACAGTCGAATGTGATGCTGGGTGACAGGGAGACTCTCTACCAAAGGCACCAGCGCCAGAAGACTGCACACTGGTGCCAGGGAGGGGCACGCAGAGACCCACTGCAGCTAAGTATCTACGGATTCGAACCACGGTGCCACTAGAAGGGCTGCAGCAGTGGGGAATCGGGGCCTGACCCCTGACCCCAGTAAGCTCGGCTGTCAAGGTCTCCTGGGCCAGGAGGTCTCCCATCCCGCCAGCAGGATCCTTCCTTCATGTGCAGGGTACACTCTGGCTCCCTGACAATGTTCCACTGTCCTCAGACTCTAGTAGTTGGCCTTAATTTCCATCCAGCCCTCATCTCAGTAAACAGAGACCTTCCACTTCCTACAGTCGATGTGATGGAGGTATATACACAGGGCCCTGCCGCTATGGTCAGGGGCACTGAGCAAAGAAACCCACTGTGCTGCAGCCACTGGCACATGGATCCTGCCCACAGTGTGCACCTTTTCAGCTGGACACACCACAACCAGGGAGAAAAGATCCTCTGTTCTTATCATGTGGCTAGAGCCAGGCTTGATGTCACAGGACAGGACTGAAGCGTTAGTAGTACACTCACGTGTGTGCACGCGCACGCACACGCACACGCGCACACACACACACACACACACACACACACACACACACACACACACACACTGTTAGCCAGGCTTAGTGAACACTCACAATGAGCCAGCAGTGGCAGCCGCACCTGAGCACACAGACACATGTCACTTACCAGGATGAAGTTAAACCGGTCACTTCCCAGCGCAGAAGGATCTGAGCTCTGAATGTCTACCTTCTTCCTCTCCATGCCGCTCACCCGCAGCTCATGGGATAAACTGAAGAGGGAAACAGAAATGCAGGGAGGGCATGGACACCACAGCCAGACACCTCAGTCTGATGCTCAGGTGCACTTCTGTAGAAGCACCTCCGAGGGAAGATGACTTTTTTTTTTTAAAAGATTTTTTTATTTTATGTTTATGGTGCTCTATCTGCATGTATGCCAGAACAGGGCGTCAGATCTCATTACAGATGACTGTGAGCCACCATGTGGTTGCTGGGAATTGAACTCAGGACCTCTGGAAGAGCTGTCAATGCTTTTAACAACTGAGCCATCTCTCCAGCCTAAGAATTTTTTTTTTTTGAGACAGTTTCTCTGTGTAGCCCTGGATGTCCTAGAACTCACTCTGTAGATCAGGCTGACCTCAAACTCAGAGGTCAGGAAGATGATTTGAGTGCAGAATTTTAAGGCCAGTCTAGGCAACATAGCAAAGAGGTCAGGTCTCAATTGATGAAAAAGGCAAACACCCGGGCCTCTGCCTTTTCCCACACCCTTCTCCACATCAGTTCTCACACAGAATGCTAACAACAGCTAAACAACTGAGTAGTCAGACTCTGGAGGGATCTGCTCAGTCACAGAGTACAGGTTCTCTTAGGATGATGAGACTGCCTGGGAGATGAACCCGCTGCTGAGGGGCGCGGGGTGAGTTAGAGGAGCCCAGGTGTGCAGCCACCCCCCTCACTGCCCCTTTTCCTCTCCAGTTCAAGCAGAAGAGCCATTTCTGCATAGACTCCCTTCTCTCTTGGGAGGGAGTAAAGAAGGTTGTGTGCTGCCCCTGTACGGCTGGCCTTCCCTGAGGCGGGCACTGGGCTCCCTAACATGCATGGAGGGCTGTTTCTGTTTTTATCTGGAGCAGGTCTCTCCACTCCAACTTCAATTTCCTCTTTAGAAAATGGGAGGGAGTTATCAACTTCTCTTACCAGATCTAGTTAGAGCTGCGGCAGCTACCACAAAATACAGTTTTTGGAAAAGCTAGGGACTGAATCAGACCTGTGGATCAGCACTACACAAAGCTACATTCCGGCCTCCCATCACAAGCACTCTGATGAAGCTGGCAAATACACACTCAATGCCACGTGTCACCATATATGGAATGAAGTCTCCACCCCTTTTTGAGGAGAGAAGAGTTACTCAGAGCTGCTTAAGATGTAGAAGGCAGCCAGGCGGTGGTGGCACACACCTCTAATCCTAGCACTCGGGAGGCAGAGGCAGGTGGATCTCTGTGAGTTCGAGGCCAGCCAGTCTACAGAGCTACAGGCTCCAAAAGCTACAGAGAAACCCTGTCTTGGGAAAAAAGATGTAGAAGGCAGAGCTGGTTGAAGAGGGGGGGTTTTGTATGATCCATAAAACCAGGGTTAGGGCAGTAGGGCTGAGATCAAGAAGCCCAGAAGCCCAGAGGGGCTGAAGAGATTGCTCAGGTTCAATTCCCAGCAATTCACAACTGTTTCTAACTCCAGTCCCAGGGGATCTGTATCCTGAGTTCTGGGATTAAGGGTATATATGTCACCAGGCTTAAATTAAAAAAGGAGGTAGGCAGTGACAGTGTATGCCTTTAATCCCAGCACTAGAGAGGCAGAAAGGCAGGGGGATTTCTGTGAGTTCGAGGCCAGTTTGGTCTACAGAGTGAGTTCCAAGATAGCCAGGGCTACATAGAGAAACCTTGTCTTGAAGAACCAAAAAGATAAAGAAAGTAGCCAATGAGCTGAAGACCTCAGTGACGAAGACTTCTCACAGAGTAGCATAAGGTGGGCTACAGAAATAAGAACAGGAGAGAACATTCAAGTCAAAATAAGGCATTGTCTTACCGGCAATAACTGGTTATGCTGAGAAGACCCAACTGGTTTTTTCGTAGGATGGAGGATGCGTTAAATCCCATTCTGGTCATTTTCTAAGTTTATTGAAAAAAACCAAAAGGAAGATTTAGTGAAGGCAGCCATGGTGGCGCAGACCTGGAATTCTAGAATTGGGGAGCTGGATCCTGGACTCCAGTTCAAAGACATCCCCTGGACACATATAGTACTTTCAATTCCAGTTTGGGTAATGAGACTTTGCCTTCTCTGAAGATTATCTGTGCTGTGGTTTGGGTAACAGGGGTATTTAGTTCCACAGGACACAGTGAGGAAACAGGTATTAAATGGACAGAAATTCAGTGAATAAAATTTGATGGTATTCTCTCACAAGTCTCCTCTCATTGGCAGGAGGAAAAACCAAGCCCAAGGCAGCCCTGTGGGTTGTGCTAGAGAGTCTGTGCCACGCTTGTCTAGGTTCACTGATGGGCAACAGGCTGATGTGTAGAGCAAGGCCAGATGCCACGGTCTATGCCAGCAAACAGAAACAGGAGCAGACAAGAAAGAGGACCCTAAGAGACATACATGGATCTACTCTACATGGGAAGTAAAAAAAGACAAGATCTCCTGAGTAAATTGGGAGCGTGGGAATCATGGAAGAGGGTAGAAGGGGAGAGGGAGGGAGGGGAGTGGAGAAAAATATATAGTTCAATAAAAACAACAAAAAATAAGGAAAGAAAAAGGAGTAGTAAATGGGGTTTCCTCATCACTTCCATCCAGGGAGTGTCTGACAGCACACTGAGGACCCTCGTGTTGACAACCTGCATTGGGTAGCAGGTGGGTGCAGTTGGAGGACGCACTGGGGCGCCAAGGGTGAGAGCCCACCTTTCTCTGCTTGTCCTCCTGGTCCAGCAGCTGCAGCCTCCTGCTCTCCATTTCCTTGTGGCAGATGGCCTCCTTCGTGAGGGGGTTGCAGTTGTTATGACCGGGGAGTAAACGGAAGTAGCGGTTCTTTTCAGGGTCAAAATAAAAGCCTGGAAGTTCTTTAAGAAAAACAAGTCAACTGACTAAATTAAAACACTGACCCACCCAATAATAAAGTCTGTGTGTCTGTTCCGCTGGTTGAGGGAGTCACAGCCAGTCACTGAGTTCTGTACTGGGGAGAACATCTGCCCCAGAATCATTATTCCCCACACCTGGCACCTTCCTTCAGCAGATCAATTTGCCTGTAGAATTCCCTCAAGCTAAGGATGGACTCCCATCCCCCAACAAGTGAAGAGACACATCTAAGCCCTGGCTAAGGAAGGGCTGTCAGGAAAGACTCACTGCCTGCTCAGGACAGGCTAGGGGCCCTACCCAGATTACTGCTTACCTGGTGCAGACGACTCTTCAGCTCTGCTGGATGAGGTTGATGGGACCTCAGCATCATGGTGGCCAGAATCTTGTGGGCTCTGTGATGTCCCTGCAGTGTCCCTGTTGGCATACAGTTGTGAGAATATGAGTGTGTGTGCTCAGGAAGGCCAAAGGACAGTCTTGTGTGTCAATCCTTCGGGGCTATCCATCTTTTTGAGACAGGATCTCTCATTGGCCTGGAACTCACAAAACAGATGGGGCTGGCTGGTGAGCCCAGGGATAGATGGGGAGTACAAGCACATGATGCCACACCTGGCTTTTAAACATGGGGCCCAGGGAATCAAACGAGTCCATCCCCCAGTCCAGTTCTCAGTCTGACTGTAGGTCCTACTTGAGCAGGTCTGAGCCTTCGCCTGACCTTTGTGATTATTTGGGGAACAGGGACACCTACTGTGAACACGCTAAAACAGGGCCAGCCTCTCTTTCTTCTTATGACACCTGTCAAAGGAATCCCTTTTCTTCTCACTTGGGCATTTTTTTTTTTTTTTTGGTTTTTCGAGATAGTTTTTTTTTCTGTGTTGCTTTAGAGCCTGTCCTGGAAGGAGATCTTGTAGACCAGGCTGGCCTTGAACTCACAGAGATCCGACTGCCTCTGCCTCCTGAGTGCTGCTCACTTTTGCATGTTCTGAGATCTTTCGGAACTTTCCAGGATGAAAATAAAACCAGAAATCTTTGCCAGTAAGAATGCTACTGGCTGGGCTATCTATCCTCAGCAGCACTGACAAAGCCAGATGAGTTTCATTCCTCTTGGCTTCAACAGTAGAAGAGTTTAAATTGTATCTGGCTAGACAACCTTACAGATGGAGAAACTGGGATTCTGGGAACAGAGATAATTTCCTCCATAACATCAGGATGGAAGTGTGGCTAACACACTGAATTTGTGAAGCCACTAGTGGTCTCTGTGGCAATGACAGGTTGAAATGCAGGGTGAGAATCCTGAGATAATCCTTCTCCCCACACACAATGAAAGGAGGTTTGCAAAGCTGGGCTGAGGGAAGCAAAGAGCAGCCTGTGTTCTATCAACACCGACGCTGTGCACAGCTGTAGGGAAAATTATGTTCTCTCCTTCTTCTGCCCATCTGTATCAGCAGGAGGATGGATTAAGTGTCATGACAAATGTTAGTCTTTCTCATCCAAGGAGTGCTGCTCCATTTTTTTCCAGAGCCCAGAAGGTGGCTGTGCCCAGCAGGTTTCCAAGCCACTCTGCCAAAACTGGGCTGGGACTCTCATAGATCAATCCTGCTACCTAATTTGGCTTGTGGGAAAGGCCTGGGGCCCCAAAAGTACCCATGGCTCTCCTAACAAAACATACTAACATTGGGTGTAGTGCTGATCTTTCTACATTATGGGCCAAATTAGAAATTTACACCCAATGAGACCCCACTGTGTGCTGAGGGCTCCAAGGGCTAGGCAGCTTATTAAGGGTTTTTATACAGTTAAGCCAGGTTGCCTTATGGGTCAGAGCCCCTTTAGATCCCGGGGACTCACTCACATGGTAAAGAAAGAACTGATTCCCCAGTTGTCCCTCACCTTCACATGTATGCCGTGACATGCACGTACACGTGCGCGCGCGCGCGCACACACACACACACACACACACACACACACACTAACATGTGGAAGAATTGTAACTGGCATGTGTGCTGTAAAGAGGAAGCAACCTGTGAACCCAAGGGCTGCATAAAGAATTCCTACTGTCAGAAGTCCTGGGAGCCCTCACCCAAGGCCAGGTGGGGACAGGGGGCTCTTGTTCTGAGACAAGGATGTTTGTACCCCCTTCATGCGGGATAATAAATAAAATGTGGAAAATGTTACACCGGGACTTAACTATTGTCTAAGATGAGCAGGCACACAGCAGTCACTGCTCTCTTCTCTGTGTATGTTTGTGTATAGAAGATTCAGTATGCCAGAGGCAGGAGGTGTGGGGGTGTGTGTGGGGAGAGTGGTGGTGGTGAGTTCAAGGACAGTCTGGTCTACAAAGAGGTCCAGGGCTCTCAGAGCTATATAGAGACAGACAGACAGACAGAGACACACACATACCAAAAAACAAAAAACCTTGTAGTCCACATAAAGATTTGCATATATTATGTAAATATGCAATATACTATATACATCTATATAAGCAACATGCATGTTAACTACATATTTTATAAAACCTTTTCCAGGACTTCCACTAAATCGCCCCAGAAAGGTTTTTTGCCCCTCCCAAATGGAAAAGCAGGTCTCCAGTTGTGCCAGAAAATTACCAGCAGTCTTTTGGCTGGCACTCTGGTCAGAAGCCAGTGGCCACGAAACAGCAAGGCTGTGCCCTCACTCTCCGGAGCAGTGGGCTGATGACAACACGGCAAGCTTCCGAGCCTGCTGGCTTCACCGCTGACTCACTCTGAGAGGCGAGCGTGTGTGTGTGTGCGTGCACTGTACAGAACAGCAGAGCAGCACTGGGCAAAACTGGCTCCCGACCTGGACACTTGCCTTTCACTAGGGCCACTCTGCTCCAAGGCAGGGCTCTGCTGGTGGCTCCGCTCACGTCGTCTCCTGCTTCTACCCATTTCTGCTCCTGGAAGAGAAATCAGAACATCAGACACCCCGGCTGTGTGCTCTCCCATTCCTGGCAGCTCCACCATGCTCATGATGGTCACTGGTGGGGCTGCCACACAAGCCTTCCCTAAAAAGCCCACCTCTAGCACTTTCCCAGTGCCCCTTCCTACCAGTGACACACGTGATCAGAATACCTTAACTCTTTCCACATCTTCTCCACAAACACTTATGTAATTCTTTTTCATCCTCCTCCCTCCCCCACGACCCCAGATAGGGTCTCTCTGTGTAGCCCTGGCAGTCCTGGAACATGCTCTGTAGAATGGTTAGGCTGGCTTCAAACTCAGAGCCTGTGCCACCAACTGCTCGGCTCTGTGTGAATTCTTACTCATCTTGATGAAAGAAACATCTTTCTTGGTGCCTTTCCAAGACGCCCTCCTCACCTAGATGTCATTCTTCCTTGGGGACATCACAGATGTCTAGTTCATGTTTAATGGCTCCCTCTCATCTCTGCTGGTGCTTCCGCTCTAATCCAAAGCCGCAGAAACACTCTGGAAGAGTGATCTACACGTAAATTCGATGTCTTTATTTCCCCATCCCCAGCATTCTGCAAAAATGCTCTTGCATCAGCAACTAATGCTCCTTAGGGGCAAAGGTGGGGAGTCTCCTGCAGTTGGCTTTGAATGGCCAAAAGCCTGCACTTGGGAGGCAGAGGCAGTGAGGTCACTAGGTTAAGGCCAGCCTAAGGCTGCCCAGTGAGAGAGAGTCTTGAACGAACCCAGCAGTTATGAGAGTGTGCATTGCTCTTGCAGCACTGAAGGTCGGTTCCAGCACCGACATCGGGTGGCTCATAACCACTTGTTAACTCTGGCTCCAGAGGGCACCCACCCTCACATGCGCGTAATTAAAGAAAAAGCTGGGGTCTGGTGAATTGCTCAAACATGTCCTTTTGAAGAGACTCTGAACCAGGACCCAATGGTAGAATTAACTCCAAGTTGTCCTCTGACTACCACATGCACGCCAAGGCCTTCTTCCAGCACCTACTGCACACAGTACACGGACATACATGCAGGCAGACCACCCATACACATAAAACAAAAAGAAAACTTAGGCCTGGTGGTAGGTACTCTTGTTACCCCCAACATGGCAAGGTAAGCAGGAGGGTCGAATGTTGAAGACTGCCTATCCTTTGGATACATATATCGAATCTATACAGGGAGATTGGGATCAGCCTGTGCTACCAAGACCCTCTGAAACAAAAAGCACCCCTTACACAAACAAAACACGGAAAACAAAAACCTAGCTCATATTCAAGGATGAAAAGTATGTTTTCCCGAAATGCAAGTTCACTCTTAAGATCCATATTGTGCTTTATATCCTCATTTATTTGTCCATTTTAAATGTTGTTTATATATTCCTGTCTGGGATGTGAATTCCTTTTTGTTTAGCTACAGTGCTGGAGACCTCAGGGCCTTGAGCATGCTAGGCAAGAAATCTAATGTTTTTTCTATTCTTAGCACCTACTGACCTAGTTGGCTACATGCAAATTACTGCTGAGGAAAAACCAAACCAAACCCAAACAATAACAAAACCTGTGGCTAGGTACTCTTTTCCTTTTTTTTTTTTTTTTTGTTTTGTTTTGTTTTTGTTTTTCGAGACAGGGTTTCTCAGTAGCTTTGGAGCCTGTCCTGGAACTAGCTCTTGTAGACCAGGCTGGCCTCGAACTCACAGATATCCACCTGCCTTTGCCTCCTGAGTGCTGGGATTAAAGGCGTGTGCCACCAACTACCTGGCAAAGTCTATAATCTTTTTTTTTTAAATATTTATTTATTTGTTATGTATACAATAGTCTGTGTGTATGCCTGCAGGCCCGAAGAGGGCACCAGACCTCATTACAGATGGTTGTGAGCCACCATGTGGTTGCTGGGAATTGAACTCAGGACCTTTGGAAGAGCAGGCAATGCTCTTGACCGCTGAGCCATCTCTCCAGCCCCAGTCTATAATCTTAAATGATGAAAAGATCACACATGATTACGGAGGGTATTTAAATGCCCAGGAGCACAATAATTTATAATCCTTATTTCCATTCACCAGTTTCCTTTAACGCTGCTTTCAGTAGCATTTCATTTTTGCGATAACAAGCTACTATGAAGCTGTGCAATTTAAGAATCTAGAGTCTAAGGCATCTTGAGATAAAAATGGAAATGGGGAGAAACAAGTGTGCTTGAAATTACCCCACCCCACATCCTACATTCACCAGCTGCTGAGCCTTAGTTGCCAGGTGGGTACCTGCCCTGTCCAGTGTGGCCAGTGAGTGAACCAGGAGGGAGATGGGAAAAAGCAGACTGTTCATTAGGAGTTCCGTCCAGTGTCAAAAATAAAATAGGGCTGGAGAGATGGCTCTGCGGTTAAGAGCACTTGCTGCTCTTGCAGAAGATCTGAGTTCAAACCTCCTGTAACTCAGTTCCAAGTGATCCAACCCAGCCTTCTGGCCTTTCAGGGCAGCATCCACTCACACATACCCTTATCCTTGTAAATTCCACCCCCGAAATTCGCAGGAGAACCACCTCCACATGCACAGAAACATTACACGACAATAATAAAACCAAACCCCACTTTACAGCATGGAAACGGAGGCTTACAGAACGACAGCGAACTGACAAAGACGCATTAAAGGTGCAGGAGGGGGTCCCGGACACCTCTGGGCGCAATCACCCACAGGACAGCTCCTCAATTTCCATTGTTATTTACAACTCGATTTCCAGACAGTGGGGTTTTTGACTTCTCCAGGAAGTGGATTTATTATCCCCACCTTACTGCCCTGCTCCACACACAAGACTGTGTCTGTGGATCTCCGTGGGATGTTTGTGTTCCTCAAAGTTGCTATGGAGACCACAAAAGCACCCGGATTCTGAAGAAATGGCGTGGAAAGGCTGCCTTTCTCGCTAACGCACAACTTGGGTGTGCTGGGGATGGAGGCTGCTCCGCACCAGGGCTTACTAGCTCTTTCAAATTCCAAGCTGTACAAAACCTCAGACAAGCCACCCCTTCACCTCCCTATGTCGAAAATGATACCACTAGGGTTGGAGAGATGGCTCAGCGGTTAAGAGCGCTTGCTGCTCTTCAGAAAACTCGGGTTCCATACTCAGAGCACACATAGGAACTCAGTCTCCAACTACACACAGCTTCAGCAGTCTAACACATTTGGTCTCTTCCATTTTCCACAGACCCACACACATACTAATTTTAAAAAAAAAGCCTCTTTAAAAAGGTGTGTGTGTAGACCTGGCTCCGTGGTGAAGAGCACTGAGGAGCTAAATTTGATTCCCAGCATCGTGCATGGCGGCTTACATCATCTGTAACTCCAGTTCCATGCGATCTGTCTGACTTCTTTTCGCCTCCATGGACACCAGGCAGGCTTGCAGCGCGTGCGTGCGCGCCCGCGCGCACACGAAAGCCAAATACCCACATACATAAAAATAAAGCACCACAAAACAAGAACCTCTTCCAAAATGTGATACCAAAAAGTACTACTGGGCCGGTGCTTCACCACGGCCCGAATCTCAATGAGGGCGACGGCCTGAGCCGGTAGACTGGACGCTGCAGGTCCCTGGGGACCACGCAGGACCCGCCAGGCCCGGGCCCACGCCCACTCCGACCGTGTCGCACTTGCTCATTCCTCCCGCCCTTAGCCTGGCCTTCCCCGACCTCTGCCTGGGTACAGCGACACCCTCCTTCGGCACCCACGGGCGCGCCAAGCATCGGAACACGCGAACCTGCCCAGACGGTCCTCTCGGCCGCAGCACAGTCCGGCTGTAGAGAGAGGCGTGCGAGGATCCGGGAAATCCTTACGTTCTGTGTTGACGTAGCCCATAGGACGAAGGAGACTGGCTCTGCCGTCTCATTGGATAAGGCCTCTGTCCATCCACGCCAGCAAGGACGGAGGGCGGGTCTTGGTACTTCCGCTTCGTCCTAGCCCGGCGTGCGTGGGGGCGGGGGAAAGGGGAGCTCGTGCGCTGGGGCGGGGCTGGAGGTTGCTACCTTCGCTTCCAGGCACAGTCTTAGCAAACGGAGGGAGTCCTTTCGCCTGCTGCAGACCGTACCTGGAAAAATTTCCTTCTGCTTAGGGCCGGTACTTAAGCCCGAGTTAACATTCATGTGCTGTGGGGAGAGGTGACTGTATTGTGGAAAGAGCAGAGGAGAATCTGAGGAGGAAAGCGAAAAAGGATTTAGGTAGAGTCGTCGTGACCGCAGAGTAACAAGGAAATCAAGAATATATTCTAACTCAATGATCTCCAGCCCAAAGCTTGTTTATACGGGCAGCATTTCCAGAATGCTATCTGGCGTGTCTGTACCAGCTAACAACACGAAGGACCACCCCAAGGAAGATGAAGTTTGTGATAGGTCAGAAGTGAGAGCAGTCAGACGAGAGCTGGTTCAAATAGACCAGGCGAGGTGGTGACTGAAGTTTCTGCACCCCCATAAGCCTCTCCCCCGACGCAGTCCAAATCAGACCAAATCAAACCGAATTTTAAAAAGCCCAGGTTTAATGGGTAAAACGCTCCCTAATGTTTTTCCAGGCCCGCTCCCCCTGCCCCCCCCCAGAGGAGACGGAAAATAGAGACCGAAAAACCACGTGTCTGTTTTCTGAGGGACAGTTTAAATACCCCGTGAAAGAGGTCTTGAGCATCTCTGGGGGAGGGGTAGTCTTTTCATTTGGCGGGCTTTCTGAGATGCGGTAGGATTTGGAGAGAGATGGGGGGGGGGACTTGGAGTGGAACTTCCACCAGAGCATTCCAGAGATTTTGGGTATATGGGTGCCAGGGAATGGGGTGAAGCTTGCACCAGAGCAGGGACCACCAACAGTCTTGATTTTACTGGATTTGGGCAGCGGGGGTGAGGGGTGGGATATCCAAACCAACAGACTAGGTAGTTGGAAGCCTGTTTCAGCTACTGGTTGGGCTGGCCGTGAGGAACTCTTTAGCGAGGTGGATGGGACTGTAGAACAGCCTCAGGAGCAGGGAAAACACTTGAGGCTCCAGGGACTGGAACGCTGTGGGGTAACAACTAAATCTGTGCTTGGGGGAAGTTTCTTGGGTGGAGCAGCAGTCGGTGCGAAGGTAGGCAGGGAGGTTACAACTGAGATACAGGGCGGGTGGATGGGAGACGAATCTGGAGGAGAATCTCCGACTTGAACTCTGGGAGGAGAAGACAGGCTTCTGTGCTAAAGCCTTGCGGTCCCTGGAGGATTGAGGAGGGGGAGGTGACTGGGGGCTTGTGAAGTGAAGAACTGACAAACAGCCAGCCTACTGGCACCACTGCCAGGCGTCACCGAATATCCACAATGAGAACAGGGTAGACATCAGTTTTGCCTTGGAAATCTGTAACACACGCATTTTACGAAGGAAACGGCCTGAAGCCAGCCATGGGGCATCCCCCGCTCTGTTTTCTCTTGGTTGTAATGCTGAAAAAGGAAGGTCATAGTAAATGCCATAGCCCAGAATCAGGGCTTGGTCCATGGCTTCCAGTGACTAAGCACCTTGTGTTACAGATTTGATTTGGTGTTTAGATGGTGTATAATATCCAGATGTAACACACACACACCCCAAAACAAAGAGCGAACCTCACATCCAGGGCATGGAGACATGGCTCAGTGGTTAAGAGCACTGGCTACTCTTCCAGTAGACCTGGGTTCCCAGCACTTGCGTGGCGGCTCACAGTGTACCAGGCCTTGGCAGAAATGAAGATCTTTTAAAGAGACACCTGTGTCTCTCATTCTGTCAAATTGTTGAAACAATGGTCCCCAAAGAAATGGAAATTTCCCTAGGAACCTCATGCCGGGAGAAGGGACAGGCACCAGCCAGAGGGGGAGCTTGTCTCCAGAATGAGATGTTACTGAGTGTCAACAACTCATTAGACCACCTTACAGGATGAGACTGAAGTCCAGACAGTGATGGGTCTGTAGCAAAAGCCACAGCTCTCATCTTGAAGGGAACAAGAGATAGTTTATTCTGGCATCATTGTTAGTGACCATGACCTGGGAACATATTTAGGTTACTCGAAATTCCAAGTTTCAACCTGGAAGCAGTTTAATGAAGTTTGTCTGGTTTTATAGAGAGCAAAGAAAGTCATGAATCAAAGCAAGTTACGTCAGAGACGGCGGTACAGCAAGGCAGGGGAAGCTTCCTACAGAGCCACGATGCTTTCTGAGTTTCTGGGGTGGTGGAAGCTAATGGTTTGCTAAGTTAATAGATTCCAAAAGGTTTAGTCACAGGGTGCTAGCTCTGGTGTAGAGGCAGGCAAGGAACGGCCGTTCCGGAGGGTTAGTTTGCTCAATACATTTCTCCCTTTTTGCTATGTGCCATGTGGAATAAATCACCTTTTTACACTTTCCGCTTTTGAGGATGAATGGCTGGACCTGACTTGGGGTACAACTTGTGTACCAATCATCTAACTCCAGGTCCAGGGGATCTGGCGCCCTCTACAGGCCTCCAAGGGTGCCAGGCATACAGATGCTGCAGAAACATGCAGGCAAAAGCGTCCATAAAATAAAATATAAATATAAAAATTAATTTTCAGAATCTGAAACCAAGGCAAATTTCTCTTTGAAATTCAATCTGGAATAAATCAGTATTAAATATCTCTACCAAAAAATTACCCAGGGGCTGGGAAGATGGTTCCATCTGTAAAGGGCTTTCTAGCCAAGCATGAGAACCCATGTAAAATGCTAGGTGAAGGGGTATTTGAGTGTAAAATCCCAGCACTAGGGGGCTGGAGAGATGGCTCAGTGGTTAAGAGCATTGCCTGCTCTTCCAAAGGTCCTGAGTTCAATTCCCGGCAACCACATGGTGGCTCACAACCATCTGTAATAAGGTCTGGTGCCCTCTTCTGGCCTTCAGCATACACACAAATAGACTATTGTATACATAATAAATAATAAATAAATATTTAAAAAAAAAAAATCCCAGCACTAGGGAGGCAAAGTATAAAGATCTCTGGGCCTTACTGGCCCAGACTAACCCAAAGATGTCAAGCCCCAGGTCCCAGTGGGATACTGAGCCTCAAGCAAACAAACCAAAAAGCCCCAAGGCATGAAAGCCAAAGTTGACCTCTGGCTCCCAGACACCTGTGTGACAGGTTAGGGGTCTTGATTGGCTTTACTTTTTCTGCCTGCTAAATACTTAAAAGACAGGAAAAATCTCAAGGGCAACAGGTGGCAGTAGAGAGATCTCAAACACACAGGCCACAACAGAAGGGGGTTTATTGGAAGGGAGGGAATACACAAATACAGCAGATATACAGAAAAAAAAGGCCCTCTACAGAGGAGAGGGGAGGACTCAGAGGCTGGAAAATCCTGTCTCTTCTTGAGAGCCGAGGTTTTTTAGTCTCAGAAGAGTTTTAATTGGTCAGTTTGAAGAAAGATCGGGTGGTTGATTGGCCCACAACCATTTCCTAACCTGTCCTGATCAGGCCTGGAACTAGTTGAGCCAGTCCACCAGCGGGAGGCCTGCCGATAAAAAGCCAAGAAGGCATTTGTTTCCGGTTGTCGGGGCTTTTTTTTTTTGTTGTTGTTATCAAGTCTGGAGGCTGAGGAAGAGGAAGAAGTCCCTCATCTTGCAAGTTCACTGTCTTTTGGTGTTTTTTTTTTTTCTTTTTTTAGACAGGGTCTCACTGGGCTTGCTGGCCCACATCTTTAACTCCAGCTCTCCAAAGTTAAAGGCCAGCCTGTTCTACATAGTGAGTTATAGTCCAGGCAGTTTCTACAGTGTAAACAATTCAGCGTCTCTAAAATCAATACCAAGGGGTTTACTCTTAGGTTACAAAATCTGGCTGCCAGGAAGATTCATCCCTGTACACGAATGCATGGAGGGGCAGCTTTCATACTGTTATGCCCCATCTGTGAAGTCCCCACAAAAGCCAACAAGGAGACCCAGTTCCATACATAAAAGCAAAGAGCCTTTATTTTAATCAAGTTTGCAAACTCGGTCTCTCCGCATCTCCAACGTATTGGAATAAACGGAGAGCCCCAGCTCAGTTAGAATTGAATTTTTATAGTGGTAAAGGTGGGGGTGAGGGGTTTCTGAGGCTCAGAACCCCTGATTGGCTGACATTTGTCTAGGGGTGTCCTGGTGAGTGTGTACTGGCAGGTGGTCCTATCTACAGCAGTTGGAATGTTAGACATTTTCTTTGGATGGTCTCTTTTTGGGTGGTGTTAGGTAATCTCAGTTTGTGGTTCTTTCTGCAACCAGGCATTGCCTCAGGGTAAACTACTGAGACTCAGGCCTCTTATTAGAATTATCCATGGCCTAGTTCTACTCTGGCAGGTGATAATTGTTGGAAGTAAAGAACTTCCTTTGGGTGACCTGCCCATACTTAGCTTATCAAAACGGTGACAGCTCACATGACTGTACTTAATCAGGATGGTGGCAAACCACGTGTTGGTTTCCAGAACAGTTCCAATTAGGAGTTACACATTTAAGTTAACTTTTTGCTACAGATTTTTAATCATATCCATTTCCTTAGCTGTTTTTTTAATAAGGTAGAATGGCATAAAGTAATTTTAATATTATTTATACCCAAATGACATATGAATTTCTGTCATTATTATATCAGATTCAGTGGCCAGAAATCCCAGAGGCAAATTCTGAGCCTAGGCAGCTAGTTGCAATAGTAACAGATGAGCTATTACCAAGACAACTCAGGCAACCAAGGCCAGTCAGAAGCAAACATGCAGTGGCCACACTTCTACATTTAACTGAGCCTGGTGTCGTTTTGTGTGGCTCCTATGTTCTCAGGAAAACATACAGGCACGGATCCATCCATCCATACAAAACAGACAGGACTTTTCTAACAATGAGATGAACAAAA